ATAGTTCATAAAAGAAAATTATAAATGAATGAGAACTAATTTCTCTGAAAGATAATAAAATTATAAATTTTTTGCTCTTAAAGAATAATGTCACTAATTTCATGACAAAAGATATTTATCTAATAAATAAAAATAAATGTAAAAAAATTATAATAATGATTCATCAAAGTATAATTGCATAATTATATTTACTTAAAATTCAAATTCAACTTAATATCATGTAATATAACAAAGTATATACATATTCCAGATAACAATTTGCAATTGCGTAATCTGTACTCTAATATATCAATGACGTAATTATGAATACACAACAATATGCATTTTAGCGCAGGTAGTCTAGAAGCAGTTTACTCTTATCGTATTTAAGAATGAATTAACTAATATAATAAATATAATATAAGTTCAAAAAATCATATGAATGTATGTTGATGAATTCTTTTAACATTACACATTATCTTTGGATAGAAAATTGCCTAGTCAGGCACGTCATCTACGATTAAATTCATTACAAGCAAGTGATCGTTGAGTACGATCTATATCATTAGTTTTCGCAATACCTCTAGTTAGTTATCTGCAACACGTTTGCTAACATTCTTTACGATTTTGTTACATACTATGTTATCACAAAATATATTAGTTCGAACTGGAAATATACTTTCCTTAAATGAGGCAAAAACAAAAGCAAGTCAAAATCCTACAGATGAGGTCAGTTTTTGAATTTTTCATGAAAAAAACTTGTAAAGTTTTCCATGTATCATAAATAGGATCATAATTCTCGAGGTTATGTCTGTATTGAAATTGATCGAAATACATTAATAATGATAGCTCACAGATGTTTTTTTTTTTCATTTTCTAGTTGATTGAAACACTAAAAATTGTACTTCGAGACAATGAAGGCACTGGCGAAAATCCAGTAATTGTATGATCACTTCTTATTTGTTATTTGTTTCCAAAAAATTCATTATTGTAATGGAAAGTTACTTACTTTTAGATTCAAGGTATAGAAGATACTGCATTGAAAGACATCAATAGAGAAGACGTTAAAATAACTGTGAAAGTATTTATTTCATCACCTGATGTAAATTTACTCAAAGAAGCTATAGATCAAGGTATGTGCTATAATTTGTTACTTTCACAATGCATTTTTGATAACATATTGTTCATTATTTCTTTTTAGTCTGTAATTCTCTAAACATAAATGCAATTGAATCTTTGGTAATTGCTTATTTAAGCAAGGAAAATCCAGAAGAATTATTAGCATCATTGAAACATCTGTGGACTGGAGTAGAAGAGTATGTGAAGATTGGCAAATTATCAAGTGTTGGTTTAAGTGATGTCAACACAAATATGTTTATTGACTTATTTCAATGGGCAAATGTAAAATTATTAATATTTGTATCTTTTTTTAATGTTTACTTTTATAGTGTTCAATCTATTCTATATTATTTTTATTTAAACAGATAAAACCAAATATTGTACAAATTAGTTTAGCTACATGTTGTGTTGTACCACCAGCTTTGCAGACATTCAGTAAAGAAAATGATATACAATTATTAACACATAATGATCCTGGACGTAAGTCTCAATCACATGAATAATAATAATAAACTAAATAATATGTCATTCAATTTTATGATTTTTTATTTGCAGAAATTCTACCCGAAGAAGATCTAAATGGAATATTCAATGCTAATACAAATTTATATTGGGTTACAAGATACCAAATTCATCTAAAATGTCGTGGTATTTTGTCTTCAAAAGGTTATTTAGTATACGTTAGCAAAAAAACTAAGTAATATTATATTTTTAAATATCAAAAAAATGTCCGTAATCGATAGTATTTGCAATTGCAATTTGTATTTACAATTGGTGTTACATTAAGTTTTACTTTATTATACACATATTATACGTATTCGTTTGTGTCTAATTCGTTATTGTATTTCTAAAGAGATATTTTGTTATTTTGTGTACAATAATTATTGAAATTATTAATTTCACAAATTAAGCATTAACAATAAGTCGATGTTCCTTCTTGTGACATGGATTTTCTATGCACATTTATGGAAATAAACATCTATGTTATAGTTAGAGCAATGTGTTTTATGTTACTGTTATATTACACTCATTTTCTCTAATTTTTTTTTTTTTTTTTTTTTTTTTT